GTCATGCTTTCCTCACGTGATCCTCAAATAACAGGACAATAAAGTACTAATTTATTTACGAGAGTGTAAAAAATTGAAAGGTTTTAATATTTCAATTCTAGTTATAAGATAAATGAAATAAAATGTCTTATTTATCTTATTTAATATATTATTGATATTAAATATTGTGATATTTTTAATGTTAAGATATCGTGATTTTTATTTTTGTTACTTGTTTATATATATAGGTTTTATGAAATTAAGGAAAACCAAAATAAATGCAACACGAATTTATAATACAATTTTACAAAAAGGAAAATTGGTGCATAAAAGGGAAATGGAACCATATTCATATTGGTGCTCATTTATTTATTGAGGTAAGTTGTGTATGAATGCCATGATTGTTTGCATTTCTCTTATCAAGCATGCGAGTTTTACCATGATTTTTGTAAGCCACGCAATGTCCTTCTTTAGCCCCACCAATTGAGAATGGAGAATTTAGGATTAATTTATGAGAAGAATTAAATCATGTCTTGAGGTTAAGAACCCCACGAGTTAATTCAAGTTGTATTTTTTAGATATAATTAAGAGTTAAATAATTTAAATTAAAAGTTTTAAGTCCAAGTTTTGATATAAATAGATAGATATTTAAAAAAAATAAAAATTATTTTTATTGTATAACTTAATGATGATCAAATGTACAAAACAATGGTTGAAAAGAGAGATTCTGAGGAATATAGGAAATTGACAAAAAAAGAAAAAAAGAAAAAAAATAAAAGAAGGAAAGTAAGAAAAAGAGGAGCAGCCTCTCTACTTTCACTTTATTTATCCAAAATCATTATATGATAGATTTGTATAAACAAGTTTCACCTTTTTCATTCCACTCAGGCATTGCAATTACTTTCTAAACAAATTCTCCTTTTGTTCTTGCATTAATAAATTTCTTTGCATCATCATGATAATTCAACGGCTTATATCTGCAGGTTTAATTAATACAAAAACAAACCTTAAAAAGAAAAAGAAAGCATAATTTTTTCTTCTTCTTCTTCATTTTTTTTTTCCCGACTTCATGCTGAATCGTCATGCTGATGCTTGCATCCAAGAAGTGGAAGGTGGAATTTTGCTTTTGAAGCAGGGAAGTGGGAACTTCTTTGCTAGCTAATAGAATTTGGGACCCCCCCCCCAAAGACTGATGCTTGTAGTTGTAGACTGGAACCTGCAGCATGGTATATATACATTTTGATTCTCAATCTGCTACCCCTTATTTTTATTATTATGCTTGGTAGATTATATATAGGGTTTACCAATTTCTTGGCAGGGACTAAATTCCCTCTACAAGTAGATATAATCTTCTTGGAATATTTTAAATATGTATAATCACCAATAGAGTTTTGATCCACATACGAAACAACAATTGAGGTTTTTAAAAGTTTTATGTATAATTTCACTAATGATTCAAGTAGTTTCATAGTAATTTTTTTATGGCGAAAATAAGAGATGTTAAGACTGAATCTTATAACATGCATATATAATGAGTTAAGAGATGAAATGAATCAGAATCCAAGATAAATCAAAAGGTTTCAATTTTGATTTGAACCATTGTATTTTTTTTATGCAACGGTATAAAAAAGGTTGTAACTTGACTAATAAAAAAGTTTGCTCTTCAACTTATTAATTAATTAAAAAATAATTGACGCACACTCGATTTAGCATATTTTTTTACTCTCATTTCAATTCAATTGTTAAAGTATGATATAAATATAATTAATTCAATCAGTTCTTGCACCTTGTATGTATATCTATCTTTAAGTTGTATACCTTAGTTTAAGACCATAAAATAGTAATTTTTTTTAATAAAGATATTATGTAATGTATTGAATTAAAACGTATATCAATTAGTATCTTAATTAATTAATGTTTTGATTCATCTAAGGTGAAACTAGGAAGAGGTAATTGCTCGTGAATAATGTTGGAGAGACATTTATAGCTTTGGTGTTATGAGTCCCCACGAGAAAGGGGACCCTAGGAACAATTCGGGACAATATAATATATGCGGGCCTTATGAGACATCAATTTCTCTTGCTTGGGGTCCCTACACCACCACTGAGCAATGGTTCTTCCTCTTCTACTACCTTATCCGAACTTCGCTTTATGCATGTTGTCAATTATCACCAATTATTAAAACTCTTCACTAATATTCTTCCATCAATTAACTTCATGAAAATAGTGAAGGTTCTCTAAAGTTAGTAATTGTTTCAATGATTTAGAGTTTGAGATGTGTACTACAAATATTAAATTTTAACTTGTAATGGGTCATGGGTGAAAAGAGGTTTAAAAAATAGAAGAGTTATTTCTTGTGTACTACTCATTATAATGTTAAAAATAAGAAAAGGGAAAATCAGCTTTGGATGCTTAAACCTAACCTCCCCTATAATTCCACCAATTGCCCGGTAATCACCATGATGTTGATTCAGTCCGTGGTCCCCCAATAAAGGAAAACCAAACAAAATCACATTTTCCCCTTTTTCTGTTCGCCTAATGTTTGACTAAATGCCTCAATCAATAACCCATCCACTACGAGGCTTGATCAAAGATGCTGAGAATTAAGAAAACTGAGAGTTTTTCTGCTAGTTTTATTTCATCTATGTTTGGAAACGGAATTAGGAGTTATTGTTGATTGTGGAGTTTCAACAATTCCGTGCTTCAGATGGTCTGAAGGAAAAAGAAGAGATGGGAATTATTGGGGATATGAAAGAGATAGACAATATGTGCTCTGCTTAAGCATATGGTATGTATGTCCCATCTCATTATTCTCCATGAAAGCTTGTATGTGGCATTAAATAAGTTTGATAATAATTTCTTCTGCCAAACATCCCATGATTTCTTGGGAAAGCCTATTCCACCCTACCATCCGCTATAAGAAAACTACATCTAACCTAAAATTGAAATAAAGCCTTCTTATCCCATTACGTTCTTTTAGTTTTTCATCATTTTTTCGTCGTTATTCAGTAAATTTAAAACTTTGTTTCCAAGTTAAAGTCAAGAATTGAATCTCTACATTATCGAACATGCAAGCACATCTTATGCACCAAATCAATTAATTGAAATAAGCACGTACTGAACAAGTGTTTGAGCACCTTAATGTTTTTGGACCACCACCTACAACTTGGCCCGTGAGTACGAACTCACAACCATAGGTTCTTGAGTCTTAATTAGGGTTACCTTCAATTGGATATCATAAAAAAAATGGTCCTGCAAAAATGCCTTGAGAGTTGCTTTCCCTTGACATACATTGTCCATTTCATAAATGGCTTGAAAACAATTTCTATCACAAAAGGGATAAGGAAGGAGTGATCTGTTCTCACATCATCACAGGAAAGCGAGTAGTGCCTTACAGCAGTTTGCCTCAACAGAATAGTTTATACAAATATACATGAAAAAGACATGAATCATGGTTCTATGATCTGTAACACTGAATTGTCATCGCAAGAGTTTCCTTTTAGGAGTTGCAGTTAAGTTAATGTAGAATACTAATCAAATTGATTTCATATCTATTTTGATTTCTCCATAATTAAGTTTTGATCAATAAAATAGAAAGTAAATTTTATTATATTTTAAAATAAGTTATCTAATGAAACTTTGTTTTTGAACTATAAGATGAGTTTTGATATTGACAGATATTATCATGATCACTACTCCTTTGTTAAAGTCACTAAATTTATATTTCATTTATTTGATATTAATAAATTTTTTAAAAATAGATGATTATAATATTTAAAAATATTAATTTATAAATTAATTTTAATTCATTAAATAAGAAATATTAATTATTTTATTAATTATTAATTATTTTTAATAATTAAATTAAATTAAAATTTTTTAATATAATTTTTATAACATTAACAAAAGAATCGATGGGAATAACTACAACCGATGTTGACTACCACCACTTTTAGCTCATGCCCATCTTGAACCGAGAAAAAAAGAAAAAAAAAAAGAAGGCATTTCCGTCTTTGGGTTGATGTACCGGCCCCCATTCATATTCCCCACACGTTTTCCTTATTTTTTTTTTCATAAATTAGGATTTTCCTTATGAATTCTTTTAAGAAAAAAAAAAAGAAGAAAAGAAAAAACCTCTCTTGAGACATCTTTTTAAGGCAAAAAGTAACCTCTAATTTATTTCTACGTAATTTCTGATCCTTAAAAGTTAAATAAATGATAAAAATCTACCGACTCAGTGATTTAATAACTTAATATAAGTTTTTTTCATTATAATAAGAGTTTGAATCCCTTCTTTTGTTTGAATAACTTGTCTTAATAAAAAAATTAAATAAATAAAGAGGACGAATGAGGGGCCGAAATCGCGGGGCCCATGTGAGGGGCATTGGATGGAACATGGCCCGAATTTTAATCCTCGTTGAAAAGACCAAAGAAGAAGGGGGCGTTAAAATCTATTCACTAATCATTACTTCTCCCACTAAGCACTCCCTTCAAAGCTTAAAAAAATGGAATTTTATTTGTTTGACAAAAACTAAAAACGAACGGCTACTTTTCTCATTGGTTGGTGCCACCTCATTATTTCCACTTTTCTTTTTTCTTTTTTTTTTCGGTCAAAACTCGGGTAACATGTGGAACAAATTAAAATAATGAGTTATATTTTGTAATTTAAATTGTATTAAATTTTAAAATAAAAATTAATTAAAATTTTTGTTTAATAATTAATAATTTAAATTATATAATATTTTTCTTTTAAAAGAATATAAAATAAATTTTTAAAAAATATAAAGATAAAAATATAAATTTTATAATTTTTTTATTTAAAATATATTTTTTTAATTTTAAAATAAATTATTAGATTTTTAATTTTTTATTTAATAATATCAATTTTATATTTTTTACTTAAAAATTAATTAAATAATTAAAAAATTGATTTACTACAAAATATCACAATTTAATTAATTTTTAAATAAAAATATTAAAATTTTATCTTTTTATTTAAAAATTAATAAAATTTACATTTAAAAAAATTCACATCTTTATTTGCATAAAATTTTTTAAACAAATTTTTTAAAATTAAAAGGGTTAAGATTACGAGTGGGTAGAGTCAGTTGAGTGGCAGATGTGCTGACTGCTGGGCACCCGAAGCGCCATGGGCCGAAGAGTAACCCTCACCCAGCCGGCATATCCCAGCTTGTACGGGGCTACGTGGGCGTTCTTGCTCCCCATTTACATGGATTAACCTCCGCCATAAACAATGGTGGCGTGTTGGCTCCACCACCACCATGGCCACCACCACCATGGCCACCACCCGCCACCACCACTTCTCTTGGTTTCCCTTGTGGGAATCAAACTAAACGAAGATGATCCGACTTTGCTTATCCAAAACCCTTAACTAATTTTTCTTTTTCCATAAAAACCCTTATTAATGAAAAAAAAAAATTTGCATTTATAGGAAATTGGAGGGTGGGTCCAAAATAGCATAATGGGCCGGAAATCTAGCCGTCCGATTAAAGGGTGTTTTTATCATGAGCCGGCGGGGAGTGGGGCTTCAAAGGGTTCATTGTGCGCATGTTTTCCTTTAAAAAGGGTGCCGTTTTGTGGCGGGTCCATCATGGCTCGGCTTAAGCCACCACTGTCAATAAAGTTCCCCTTTAAACATCTCCGGCCGCGCCGAACTTGACCATACTTTTTCCATAATTTCCGTACAATATATTAATATAAAAAGAAAATAAAAACTGTAAAAAATAAAAATCAATAATGGGCCTCCGATTTACTGCAGGTTGGTTGCCTCCAGTGGCCCAAGAAAAAAAAAAAAAAAACAAAAATCTCATCGTATCTTTTAGGGGGAGACTGCTCAAATAGCAAGAACCACTCGCTTCTGATAAACGTGAATTGCACATGCTGGAATTTTTTTATTTACATGAAAATTTAAATTTTTAATTTTAATTCTAAATTAAAATTTTTAATTAATAAAATATTAATTCAACTGAAATCTTGTTAATAACAAAGCTCGGAGTCTGATTTAACGGTGTGATACACGCGACGGGAAGACGAGTGGGAGAGACACGGTCGATTCCCTACATTGATTGGGGGGACAAAGGGAGGAAGTTTGATGAGGCCTCGATGAATTAAAATTCAATTTTCAATTTGGAAAATGAACCCAGCATTAGAAAACAAAAAAAGAAAAAAGAAAAAAGAAGGGATGTCTTTTTTTTTGAGGAAAAAAAAAAGAGAAGGGAATTAAATTGGGGGAAAATGAATTTTCTAGAATTATTGACTGAGATTTAGATCTAAGCTTCGGCGGCACCATTTCTTAAAAGCATATAACAATCAATGGAAACAAAACACCGTGCCACAAGATTAAAAAATTTTGCCACGGTTTCTATCTTAACCTTCCTCCCACCCTTTTTTATTTTTTCATTTTTTTAATTTTTTTTAAGATTAAGCCCAACTGCCAAAAAAACAGAAGATAATTTTTTTTGAACTGAAGTAAAAAAAAAAAAAAAAAGGAAAAAGAGAAAGTAGACAATTGAATTGCAAGAAGCCTTTAACTTTAATTAAGGGACCATCTCAATTCAATTCGTTCTGTTTCATTTAATTTTTTTAAGATAATATGGGCTTTTAGGTTTTTTCTGTCTAAGAGTTATGTTTATAATTACTGGATAAGACTCTATCTTCAAAAATAGAAAGTATTTATTAAAATTATTTATACTTAAATAATGTTGATATATTTAAATTCGTATTTTTCTAAAAAGTTATTTAATCAATTGAACCAGTTTTAATGTGATATTAATAAAAATTTGATCAAATTAGTATCTATTAATTTAAAGTCAAGTTTAAATATTCAAATTTTTATAATACC